TAGAATACTTGCATTGTTTCTGGCATTCACGTCGGATCCGAGCTCGCTACGGTTGTCCTCCACTGTGTGCATCAACGGCGTCATCCCCGTCGTCTGCAAATGAAAAAATTTGTGTATAGGAAAATAAATTTTCGTGCGATCCTTTTATAATTGTTTGACCGTCTCGCGTCTATTTAAAACTTCTTGTTAAAGGCTCCCGCGAGTAGACATTTCTGTGACAAGGATTCGTTTTATCCAATTAAAACATTACATGCTTTTACAATTATTTCTGAAAATCTGATTAATTTCTTTCGTGCCAGATGTTCTTCGGTCTCATCGACATAGTTATGTAAATGATATGCGGAAGATCTTCGAAAGAGACTAAAATTTTTTAATTTTCTTGAAAACTAACCGTGTCCAAAACACCGGCGAGCGGTACGATGAAGTCATCCTCCCCAGCGCTCTGCACAGCCTTCTCCAAAGAATTCAGCAGCTGGCCCACGACGGCCCATTCCCTGCGTGTTGCTAGGCTCAGCAGCTTCTGCGCTTTTTCTCTGACGGTCGCGCCCACGGAGCTGGGTTTACTTCCGGGCTGCGACGGTTCTCCCGTTGTCGCACCGCCATTGCTTCCCGTCGATGCTGAACCACCATCTTCCTTATCGTCCGACGGGCTGTCCTCTTTGCTGGAGGAATTCTTCTTATCGTTCTCGTTTTCCGGTGGCTTCTCCCCGTTACTGCTCATGCTATTGTACGTATTTCATTACGTGAAATGCAAATGATTTTCTTGAACGACTCACTCTCGCTCAAAATAGCACACCGTTAATTTGGTACACGAAACAACGAAAATTGTACGACCACTGGGCAGATACTTAACTTTCCGTTTGATGCGACGTACACTTAGCAGAATGCAAGATACTACAACATATATTTAAATGGCTTTTAGCGACTTTGAGAGCTAACGAAAAATAAGGAAGCTTTACTTTATAGAAGCGAAACAATTTTGTAAAATCGAGATATATTTACAGCGAATAGGTTTCAAAATGTATTATTGGAGTAACATATTTGAAACATTTTGAACGATACATCCAGGAAATAAGTGTTTCTAACAAAAGCCTGAAAGTATCATTATATTTAAGGTTTTAATCTATACTCATCGCGACACTTATAACATTTGTAATATCCCATAATTAGTAAATATTTGTGATTGAAACTAAAAATAATAAATTAAAAGATTTTTAATTATTAACATTTGAGATATAAACGATTTACAGGAATTAGCGTGGTAGTTATTGCGTAGTAATTTTTTAACAAATTAATTAACAACAGTTATCATTGCATATGTTATAGCCCGAGTGCTATCACGCTATAAGCTTTGCATTTCGGCATATCAACGTATGCATGGCAGCGAGCGAGCGGAAATGCAAGACTTCAAGCTTACGAATTTCCCACGAGCAAGCGCGAACGAAGGTCGGAAGGTGGAAAGATGGCACTTGACTTCCCATGATCTGATCGCGGATTATCGCGAATTGCAATAAAACACCAAAAAATCCTATAGAAGCGGCCGCCTAAACGTGCGCCGGAAGAGTTCGATTAAGAGAGTTAAACAGACAACACATTATGCGCGATAACAAGTATCAAGTTGCGCGACACCGAGTACCAGCAAGACATCCGCCGTGAACGCAAACGTGAAACATATACGTAGCCACGATCATAGTAACAGGAACATAGAATTATTGTTGCAAACAGCGCAGCGTATGACCTTACAAGGATTGTATTAATGAGATCACAAATAGTTCACTACATATATTAAGTATAAGTACATTGCAATGACTGAGATCCGCGCAACAACGTCTCGCAGAGAGAAGTGAAGGCTCATCTACACGATAACTGATAAGGAGGAAGACGGCGTAAGACGGCGCAAGGGTGCAAGCGCAGGCGCAAGAGAATTGTCTCGGTCGTATAGCGGCGCGGCGTAGAGTAGTGGAAATAAACTAATTTTATTTCTAACATCTGCGTCAACACTACGCCGCGCGCCGGTTATTTTCTCGCTCATTTTTCAAAATTGTAGTCACTTTGGTTTGGATCGCAGCTGTGTTATCGCCGGCTTTTAAGTGTTATCATGAGCGTTGAAAATATGGATGAAGTTTAGTGCAATGATGAGGACGAAAGTTATGATCCAATAAGAAATATGTTGGAAGAACGTGAGATATATATCCGTACATTTATTCATTTCGTATACCCAATACACAATTATATAAAAAAGCAAGTTTAAAAAAGCAAGAGCTATAGCATGAGTCAAGATAAATCCCTCACTTAGGCAAGTGTAGGAAAAGCGATGACTCTAGCACTCACTAGTAAGTTATAAATTTGTGTCATGTGTATAAGTTAGGAATTAATTGCTAATAAGAAAGTTGTATTTTAATTATAATAAAATATCAAATTTAGTTTAGATAATGAGACCACGGACGCGCATGGACACCGCTACAACACAAAGAACGAAAATAAAGTCA